TCTCCCCGTGTATGGATGTATTAGTTAAAGGATATCCTCGTGTATGGATGTATTAGTTAAAGGATCTCCCCGTGTATGGATGTATTAGTTAAAGGATCTCCCCGTGTATCGATGTATTAATTAAAGGATCCACCGTGTATGGATGCATTAGTTAAAGATATCCCCGTGTATGGATGTATTAGTTAAAGGATCTCCCCGTGTATGGATGTATTAGTTAAAGGATATCCTCGTGTATGGATGTATTAGTTAAAGGTGCATGGATGTATTAGTTAAAGTATATCCCCGTGTATGGATGTATTAGTTAAAGGATATCCCCGTGTATGGATGTATTAGTTAAAGGATCTCCCCGTGTATGGATGTATTAGTTAAAGGATATCCCCGTGTATGGATGTATTAGTTAAAGGATATCCCCGTGTGTGGATGTATTAGTTAAAGGATCTCCCCGTGTGTGGATGTATTAGTTAAAAATCTCCCCGTGTATGGATGTATTAGTTAAAGGATCTCCCCGTGTATGGATGTATCAGTTAAAGGATCTCCCCGTGTATGGATGTATCAGTTAAAGGATCTCCCCGTGTATGGATGTATTAGTTAAAGGATCTCCCCGTGTATGGATGTATCAGTTAAAGGATATCCCCGTGCATGGATGTATTAGTTAAAGGATATCCCTGTGTATGGATGTATTAGTTAAAGGATATCCCCGTGGATGGATGTATTAGTTAAAGGTTATCTCCCCGTGTATGGATGTATTAGTTAAAGGATATCCCCGTGTATGGATGTATTAGTTAAAGGATTCTCCCCGTGTATGGATGTATTAGTTAAAGGATCTCCTCGTGTATGGATGTATTAGTTAAAGGATATCCCCGTGTATGGATGTATCAGTTAAAGGATATCCCCGTGTATGGATGTATTAGTTAAAGGATCTCCCCGTGTATGGATGTATTAGTTAAAGAATCTCCCCGTGCATGGATGTATTAGTTAAAGGATCTCCCCGTGTATGGATGTATTAGTTAAAGGATCTCCCCGTGTATGGATGTATTAGTTAAAGGATCTCCCCGTGTATGGATGTATTAGTTAAAGGATCTCCCCGTGTATGGATGTATTAGTTAAAGAATCTCCCTGTGCATGGATATATTAGTTAAAGGATCTCCCTGTGTATGAATTGTGGGCCCAATAAAACAAGAATTTCTCAGTTATGTTTCACTGTGGACGTTAATGCATTATTGTCAATAGAAGACTCATCTTGGCAAACCTCGTGGTAACTTGCTGTGTTTACACTGCGCACAGTTGGAAATACAGCCAGCTTTTTATTATATAAAAATATAGTAGGCCCCCAACCCTACTATTAATAATAATTGTGTTTAACCTGAGAGAATGACAAGGAATTATTCTTAAATATTTAGATTTTATTCATGCAGAGGTGTGTTAGGGTTTGATCAAGAGGTGCAGATTCAGTCACTGCACGATGTCAAACCACGCTGATTCAGTCACTGCATTAATATCAAACCAGGTTCAGGACTGCAGGTTCAGTCACTGCACGATATCAAACCATGCAGATTCAGTAACTTGTAACTTGTAAAGTTATAGGGCTGAAGGGCTAGGCTCCACCGTAATAGCCTGGGGTTGTCACCAGCTACCCGGTTTAGCATCACAGAGGGGTTGTGGTCGGTCATAATGGTAAATGGCCATCCATACAGATAGGGTTGAAGTTTCTTGAGTGCCCAAACTAGGACTAGGCACTCTTTCTCCACGGTGGCATAGCTGACCTCTCTGGGCAAAAGTTTACTGCTGAGGTATGCCACCGGGTGTTCCATGCCGTCGTCTCCCACTTGGCTCAACACGGCTCCCAACCCAAACATGGAGGCATCTGTGTGGACAAGAAATTGTTTAGTGTGGTTGGGTGCGGCCAACACAGGAGCCCCACTCAGTGCCGCTTTAAGTTTCTGGAAAGCGTCAGCGCACTCTGGGGTCCAGGTTACCTTTTTTGGTAGGGCCTTTTTGGTAAGGTCGGTGAGGGGTTTGGCCAGGGTGCTATACTCTGGGACAAATTTTCGGTAGTAACCGGCCGTCCCTAAAAAGGCTAGTACCTGGGTTTTGGTACGAGGTTGGGGCCAATTAGCTATGGCCTCTACTTTAGCCGGCTCTGGCCGCTGCCGACTGGAGCCTACCCGGTGGCCGAGATACTGTACCTCGGCCATGCCTACATGGCATTTGTCAGGTTTCAAGGTGAGCCCTGCGAGGTGAATTCGTTTGAGTACCCTGGACACGTGACCCAGGTGGTCCTTCCATGTGCAGCTATAGACGGCAATATCATCTAGATACGCACATGCGAAGTCCTGGAACCCCTCCAAGAGCCTATCGGCCATCCTCTGAAACGTAGCCGGGGCATTCTTCATCCCAAAGGGCATAACCGTGAACTGGTATAGCCCAAATGGGGTGACGAATGCTGACTTGGGAATGGCCGCAGGCTTCAAGGGAATATGCCAATACCCCTTGCACAAGTCCAGGGTAGTCAAGTAATTCCCCCCAGCCATACGGTCTAACAGCTCATCTATTCTGGGCATGGGGTAGGCGTCAGTTATGGTGCGATTGTTGAGCCTCCGATAGTCTACACAGAAGCGCGTGGTGCCGTCGCGCTTCGGTACTAGTACTACCGGTGAAGCCCAAAGACTTTGTGAGGGTTCTATAACCCCTAGCTTGAGCATATCCCTTATTTCGGTGAGTATATGTTCACGTACTGCCTCAGGGATACGATATGGCTGCTGTCGTAACAGCGTTTCTCCCTGGGTTTATACATGGTGTACCGCAGCGGAGGTATAGCCTGGTATGGCCGAAAACATTCCTTGGTATCCCTGAAGCAGTTGAGATGCCTCACCTTTCTCTAAAGGGCTTAGGTTTTGACCCAAGCTTACTTGGTCAATAGTACACAGGGAGGTGTCTAATAAATCAGGGAGGGGCAGTCCCTCACTATCTTCAGTAGCGGGGGCACATACTGCGCCCACATCTTCCGTTCTCTCGAAATAGGGCTTGAGCATATTTACATGAAAAGCTTTGGTCAGCCTTTCATCTGAACATTTGCTCACAATATAGGTGGTATCGCTTATGCGCTCTGCCACCTTAAAGGGTCCCTGCCAGGCGGCCTGCAGCTTGTCCTTCTTAGCGGGTCTCATGGCCAATACTTTCTGCCCTAGGTCTAGTACCCTATCCCTGGCACTCCTATCGTACCACTTCTTCTGGCATTCCTGGGCCGCCCGCAGGTTCTCCCAAACAGATTCAGTGAGAGCCCGTAAACGTTCCCAGAACTCCAGAACATACTGGACGATAGGCACTCCCCCCTCATCTGTTTTGCCCTCCCAGTGCTCCCGTATGAGATACAGTGGGCCCCGGACTTTTCTCCCGAACAGGAGTTCGAAGGGGGAAAACCTGGACATTACAAGAACCAGTGCCCCCGTTTGAACCGGGGAAGCTGGGAAAGGCAACCCCTACAACAACCCCTTCGCGGTAGGCAAACAGAAGGTGGGGAAGGAACCTTTCCCAATTCCTGTGGGACTCTGCGAAGGTTTTTAGCATCTGTTTGAGCGTGCCATTGAAAGGTTCACAGAGTCCATTAGTTTGGGGATGATAGGGAGCGCTAAATAGGGTTTTTACTCCACAGCTCTGCCACAATTGCTGTGTGAGGATGGCCGTGAACTGAGTCCCCCGATCGGACAAGATCTCCTGGGAAAAACCTACCCGGGAAAATATTTTTACTAAGGCCTCTGCCACGGTCTCTGCCTCTATGTTTGTGAGGGCGACCGCTTCTGGGTACCTAGTGGCGTAGTCCACTACAGTAAGAATTAACTTTTTGCCGGAATGGCTGGGTCGGCTGACAGGTCCTATCAAGTCCACCGCTACTCGGTTAAATGGCTCTTCTATAATAGGTAAAGGGTGGAGTTTGGCTTTCTGATGGTTACCTCTTTTCCCTATATTTTGACATATGTCACATGTCCTACAATAATATTTAAGATCTTGCGTGACCCTAGGCCAGAAGAACGTTTGGGTCAACCGGTCCCTTGTCTTTTTAACCCCTAGATGTCCGGCTAGGGGAATGTCATGACAGAGTTTTAATAACTCAGCCCGAAACTTACAGGGTACTATTAACTATCTTTTGGAGACCTGAGTGGGCCCGTGTCCCACCCCTCCTGTCACTCGATACAGTAATCCCTTATACCACTCGAACCTTTCATGCGTGCTGTCCCCTTGGGTAACGTCTACTGCCTTTCTGTACCCTTCTAGTGTGGGGTCTGTTCTCTGCTCCTGCTCAAAACCCTGTGGCGTATCCCAGAAAGTGGACGGGGGGTCGGGTAAAGGGGGTATTTCAACTCCTACCTGGTTTTCCTCAGAGTGCAGCGGTGCTTCCAGTCTGGCTTGAGCTCGGGTGGTAACCGGGTATGCTTCTGAAGTAGTGTCCCGTGCTGGTTGGGAGGTTAGACAGCCGACATCATTCCCCAATGAGACCTCGGCTGGCAGTTCTTGCATAATGCCGACCTCCAACTGTTTGGACCCAGAACCCCAGTCGACAAGGACGTTAGCTGTAGGTAGTTTGTGTATGGCACCCCCAGCCACCCTTACGGCGACTGTGCGCCCGGTGCGATTTATGGCGCCCCCATGCCATCCACCGTAATCCATTGGCGGTGGTGGTCCCAGTTGTTGCCCTTGGCTTGCACTGGATTGACCTTGTGTAAAACACTCCACTGCTCTTCTTGATTAGGGACGTAGGTCGTACTTTCCTGCTGCACACAATGAGCGGCTGCCCTGGGTTGTTGTAGGGGTTGCCTTTCCCAGCTTCCCCGGTTCAAACGGGGGCACTGGTTCTTGTAATGTCCAGGTTGCTTACAATAATGGCACACTGCAGGGGGTCGAGGTGTTACTGCTGGGCTTGGTGGTGGGTTGCTTATGGAGGTTCTAGGAGGTGCAGAGGTTGCTGGAGCCGGGTAGTTGAGCTTAAAAGTTGGTCTGCTCACACCCTGTTCCCTCCTCCTGTTGTCCTGGTATTCATCCGCTAGTCTGGCAGCTTCCTCTACGGTTTTAGGCTTTCTGTCTTTTACCCAATCTTTTATATCGTCTGCAGTATGATTAAAGAATTGTTCCAATAGCATAAGTTGTAAGGCATCCTCCAGGGTAGTTGCTTGGCAGTCCTGCATCCAATTACGGGCTGCCCTGTGTAGCCGAAAAGCCCATCCAGTATGGGAATCTCTCCCTGTCTTCCGCAGTTCTCGAAACTTTTTCCGGTATGCCTCAGGGGTTACAGCATATCTGGCCAACAAAATGTCTTTTACTTTATCATAATTATGTATGTCCCCATCAGGCACTGCTCTCCTCGCTTTGGCTGCTCTGCCTGACAGCTTGCTGCTAAGTACTGCAGCCCATTTTGTGGCGTCTAATCCCTCCAGTGCACATTGATGTTCAAAGTCTTGCAAATAACTGTCAATTTCCATTTCATTGTAATTAAAAGTTTTAAATGCTGCATAATTTACCTTCTTTGGTAGGTCATTGGTACTTCCCGGGGAGAGTAGTAAATCCCCCTGTGATGGTCTGTCTCGGTCCTCTCGCTCTTTTTGTGATTGCCTGGCTTGTGCCATGACCTGCAGAACTGCCTCTGTAGAAGGATTGGGACCCAATACACCGAGCATCCATCTGATATCTTTCTGCATCGCGGTTTTTCTTCCTCGTGCTCCATTTCTGTATTGCTGGTTCCTTCGCTCTGTATTAATTCTGCAATTAACTTGGCTTTTACTTGCCACTATGCCTCGAGCTTCCAGTAAATCCTTTAGCATGGTTCTCTTAAGTAGCTGGTATTGCTGAGCCATTCATTCCCTTGCTTGGTTCGGGACGTCCATTCGGGATTCGAATCTCACCTCAGCACCAGTTGTAAGGAAACCAAGTGTATTTAAACCTCATTCGGTAGTTTCCTCCTGAACCACCAGAGCCTAGTGTATGTAGCTCTCCATTCGGTAGTTGAAATAGACGAAATCCATACGAAATACAAATAGCTTTAGTAAAGTATACGAATCCCCAAACATCAGCCGAAGTCAAGAAGAAGGGTACAAAGTGAACTGGCTTTAATTAACACACAGAAGCTTTTATGCAAGTCCCCATGCAAGGGGACATCCCACAGGGAGGGACATAGTATAACCAATCACGTACAATAAAATCATAACACACACCCAGCACAAACATACAATTCCCTCCCCTAGCCATGGAGATAATCAAGTCTGATAAAGTAATAACTTGATTATCTCCAGGCAGAAAAATCACAGTTTTCCTCAATATGTGGAACACCCCTTTATATATGAGGTCTCCCCACAAATAATATGTCCCCTGATAGCCCCGATCTGGGTGACCAACATATTCAAATTTCACCCAGATCGGTTCAGGGGTTCTCAAAAACTATGGAAGTCTTCAGTGACCAGTTCACCACGAGGGGGCTGCCCAAAATAGTTCCACAAGGTTGAGTGGTTTTGCCGGTCACTTCAGTAAAAGGAGAAAAACGAACAAAGTACAGAATGGATCCCCCTGGCTCCTAGCAGCGATTGTTCCCCTCATTCGTATGCACAACCGTACCGAAGAGCGCTCTTCTAGCTAATCGGTACATATAGATCCAGCGTTCGTGTGTTGGAGACCGGTGTTGTGGAAGTCGAGTGTGCGATTTTAGTTCCAGACACTCGACGACCAAGTCCCGCTGTCTTTGTTCGTATGAAAAAAAGATGGCCGCGGTTTTCTCAGCCACGTGGCGTTCGGTAGTACGAACGCTGGCTTCACACGTAGAGGGTTTAATTGAAGCAGGCTTTGAGGTTTAATGAGCCAGGGGGAGGTCTTTGTTCAGTAGTTACATCTACCGAATGGAAAAATGAAGAAATAATGTATATAAAGGGTAATTTCTTCACAATTGGTTCTTTACATTTTACTGGCCAGCTAAAGCCATCTGGTAGCCACCCAACCTTCCTTAGATTATATCTACAATGACTCCATTAGCTTCTGGGAGTCCTCGCTCATCGTAGCCAACTCCCAAACATTTTCATAGCTCCAATTACGTCTTTATTTCTCAGACTATAGATTAAAGGGTTTAATATTGGTATGGTTAGAATATAAACTGCTGATACTATTTTGTCTCTGTTATTATCTACAGCAGCTTTTGGACTCATGAACATAGCAATATCTATCACGAAGAACAGTGTCACAACGATCAGGTGTGAAATACAAGTGGAAAAAGCTTTGTATCTTCCAGACTGGATTCTCATTATTGAAACGATAATTCTACAGTAAGAGAACAGGATGAGAAAGACTGGGACCAGTAGCACAATGACACTCCCACCCAACATCATGGGATCTAGTATGGAGGTATCACTACACGATAAAAGCATCAGTGAAGGTAACGCACAAAAGAAATGGTTAATTATGTTAGGAGCACAAAATGTTAAGCTATATAAAAGTAAGACATTAATTAACGACAAAGCGCAGCTCACTGTCCATGTAATTGTGATCATCCATTTACAAGCTGATGTACTCATAACCATGTGATAGCGCAGGGGTTTACAGATTGCGATGAAACGATCGTACGCCATGAACACCAAAAGGAAACATTCGCTTCCTCCTAGAAGAAGATTAAAAAATATCTGGGCTGCGCAACCTTGTAACAAAATACTTTTTTCCTTATGTAATAAATTGACGAGCATCTTTGGAACAGTGACTGAAGGGCCACCAATATTAATGATTGACAGGTTAATGAGGAAGAAATACATAGGGTTGTGCAGACGGCGGTCAATGCTCACAGCTAGAATAAGAAGACAATTAGCAGCCAGCGAGGCCACATAGACAGCCAATAAGATGATTATTAGTATAACTTGAATTCTGGGGTCACTGGACAGTCCGAGTAGAATGAATTCTGTCACCGTACTGCGGTTCATATTTTGCATTATGATTGTCGAATATTTGTAGGGAATCACCTTCAGCTGTAAACAGAAACACAGATTAAAGTTTTAAAATCTAAAAAAAATATAATTAGTATCTTCATTTAAAATGTATTGTTTGGGGTGGGCTGGTGTGATTGTTCATCCATTCTGTATGAAAATTGTTAAGACAATATTAGTTAAATTGACATTTAACTTACTTATGTTATGGGATAAAATATATCAATGGAGAAAATAATTAAAAAGGAGAGCACAATACAAAAAATACAATCCTAGTGGACATACAATGAACACAAGGGGTGTACAGAAAGAAATATATATTTATATAAAGACCAACAAAAGGAGGCCTGATCCTACACCTGAAAAACACCATAAAAATAAGCAAAGACAATTCAAAACAAAGTATAAATATACAAAACAGGTAACACAGTCTACATACATACCAGAAAGAACCCAGATCACAGACGATAATAGTGAGAGAAGCAAGGGCTACAACAACAAACACACAGAATAGTTCAAATTCCAACGTTTTGACAGAACTGCCTTTGTCATGGCAGTATACATTCAAAGTCTTGTTTTTGTTTCACCATCACTAAGTTATATTGTTGAGACGCATAAAACAAAACTATTTCAGTTTGCTGATTACCAAAACGACTATTAAATGATTTCTGCTTACCTTGTCGCACTCTGACCTTCCGAAGTTTATACAATATGTTCTCATAACATACACGGGAGACACGCATCACGCTGCATTATTACGCATAAACCTTACATGGCTGTAAAATGAAGGGTTTACTATATATTTAATTAACTGTTCTATAAAAACCCTCCTCAATTCCCTGTTTATCTAATTAATTCCCATTCTAATTCTATAAATAGAGATTAATGAGCCGCTATTACTACAGAGACTTGATTAATGAAATGAGGGTTCTCCAATAGATCTTGTTATCATTACACCAACGTATGGAGACTTTAACAAGAAAAACATGAGGGATTGAAATCCCAATTATTGCTTTCTAAACTTTTATTGAGAACTCTAAGAATGTCTGGTTATTCAAAAGTTAGATTTTAGGGATGCCTTATTCCCCTCCCGAAAAAAACAAACAAAAACCAAAAACATAAATTTCTCTATGAAACATGACTATAAAAGTGATTGAGCTTGGTACATATCCCAGATTCCTTTCTTAAAGAGGAAAAAAAGTTGAGCCAGTAGTTAAACAGAACTCTAGAAAGGATTCGCTGTCAGGATTACTAGTTGATCCAGCATGTAGAACCTAGGACTAAAAGGTAACGTCTTACAGGGCCTTAAAATGGCTGGACTTAAAGGGACACTTTGTCTCTTTGAATTGGTTATAGTGCCTGGAGTGTCCTGGCACTGTCCCTCCATTCAATGTTGCACCATGTTTGTGCAGTATGCCACAAAATAAGAGTCCCTGGCCACCCACAGTCCGGCCCCTTCTGTATGTGTAGCTAAGGCAGAGATTACACACTTCCTTGTTGTCATACCCATCCATACCGTCAGTTGGAGCTCTGACAGGTTAAAAGCAGTCAGCTGACACTCTCAGCCAATCACAGCTGACCATTGCTGCTCAGGGTAAAACTTCCTTATTAGCCAAAGCAGCACAGAGGGGATGGACTGCCGGGGTCTCTTGTTTAGCATTAAAACATTACAACATTAAAAACTGTTTAATGCTGAAAGAAATTATGGCAACAGGGGACTCCATACACTATAATCAGTTTAATGAGATGAAGCAGATACAGTGCCTACGGTGTCCCTTTAACTAACCAAAGAATAATCAGAATACTTGCCGAGGTCGGGGACACAGAATGGGACACAACGATAAGGGAAAGTCAGAAGTCAGGGATACCAGATACAGGGAAGTCAAAACAAAGCCAAAGTCAATAACCAGAAATAAACGTTCAGGAACACACTCTCGGACAACCACGAAGGGAAACCACGACAGGGCAATGAGGAGAAGTAAAAATGCATTTAAATAAGACTTTTACAAATCCGATTGGCACGAAATTGGTCTTTGACCCAAGAAGGTGCGCGCGCGTCTGACATCACACACACGCTGACGTTGTCATCACTGTGGGTGGACGTGGGTCTATAATTTGGCATGGATCCGCAGCAGCTGGCGTCCACCAACATATTGCAGGAGTCAGGTACACTGACGCATGGCCGCTGAGCGGAGATACCACAAGGTGAGGATGAATATGTTACATTCATGCAACTAATATACTGTATTCTCTCT